TTTCGTGCATTTTTAAATAGATTATTCAAATATACTGTGAATTTCACAATTCATATTTTATATGCCTAAAATGCACAAATGCTTATAAGTGTACAAACAGAGCATTGTATGAAATGTAAACAATAAATATATATGTATCGTATCCGATTAAGATGAATTCATAAGTTGATTTAATCTCATATTGCTAAGAATTAAATGTAGTAATGATAATAGAATGCTGCAATTTAACTTAACAATTATTGACTTTTAAAATAAGTATCTTATAATAATTAATAAGTATCGGATAATTCATCCATCGCCGAATAGGACATGCTCTATTCCTAAAATACGGCAGGAATTTTCGAGAACAGAAGTTTTTTTTTTATCTTATTTTTTATTTATTTATAATTAGCAATCAGAATACAAATTCTATAAGCTAATGATAAACGCTATAAAGTAATTAAAATAAACAAATAATAAAGATACAAAAATAAAGATTATAAATAAATACAAAAATATGATTATAAGCAAATTAGGAAAAAATAAGTACGTTAGGATTGCCTCCATTGAGTTAATCCTAAGTGAAGAAAGTCAGGCAGAGATTACATGATCAGGTCGGCAGGCCATTTTCTTTTGAGTCTTTGGTTTGTATTTTCTTTTACAAGTGGTTTTAATAATTTATTAGTATGTGTTGCGATTTTGTTAAGATGCGTGCAGACTTTATCCTTGGTGACGTCTTTAATATATGGTATTTTTAGGTCCTGGTGTATCATATGATTACTTACAAACCATGGAGCGTCGACTAGAGTTCTGAGAACTTAATTTTGCATTCTCTGCATCTTGGCTATATGTGATTTGCTAGCGCATCCCCACAGCTCTATACCGTAGGTCCACACCGGTTTCAGCATTGCATTGTAGATTAAAACTTACTATACAGTGAAAGTTTTGTCTTTAAGGACAGAAGTTGTCGTGAAATCAGTTTCCGACTTTACTAGGCAACGGTTATAGACAGAAAATATGTTAAGGATGCTGCCGTTGTGAATAGAAGGTTTAAACGTGAAATCTGGCTGGCAAGATCGTAAATTATGATTTATCTTTTATCATATCGTTGCTAGGTAACAAACTGTCCTGCATCCACTAATCAAGAAATCTGGCGCCGTGTGCACCGGGCTTAAGTTAAGTTTACCAATTTTTTAATTAGGCTTTCATACGTTTTGTATTCCTGTTTGATTCTTCCTTAGTCTCTGCAGGATTTCTTTCAAAACCGCACTTATTTTTTTTTTCTTTAATAATTGGATAGATGCCTAAAAAAATTGTTATGTTTATATTTTCACTTTTGTTTCATACATATGTTTCCTGTGTCATTGAATTCGACAAAAACAGATGTGAGATCGTCAGTTTCTCATGACAGATTAAACGTCTTAATTATTATTCGTGTTAGCCTAATTAAATCTTCAAACTGATATTCAAATGATATGGTAAATAATTATTTTTCGATTGCAAAAACTGTTACACTAATTAATCTTCAAGGACGCAAGGTGCAATTTGTGACGTTGGCGTCAAACCTGAGGGCAAAAGTGGCATTGGCAACGAAACTGGCAACTTTCTACATTTAGGAAAGGAACAGTCAAGCAACTCTTACCTGTAAACTTGGTGGTATGTAAAAATTATAATTTACTAAAACTTAATCGTATTTCAATTACATGTGTAAAATCGTACAGGTCTTGTGATATTGTTTATAATTTATTTTTTACCGTCTTATTAGTACCTCGGCTGAACATAAAATTAGCTATATTTTATTTTTAGTTAAATATAACTAATTAGTTAAGTAAGCAAACATTTACAATTGCAAGGTTGTCATAAACATAAATAATTAAAAAGTAAGTTTTTTATAATATTTCTGATTAAATTTTTGGGAAGGCAGATCCAACGGTTTCGGAGACCCAATAAAAAAAGTAAAAAAAGAAAATACCGTTTGACGAGCAAAAATGATCATTAGGCATATGCACATCAAATTATCAGATATTTTATAGAGATTTTAATTTTTTAATTTAAGTCGTCAATCGAAGTTACAATTTTGGAGATTAGACGTTTTATAGTCAGATTTGTCTATTCTATTAATGTAACTAGTTGAAAGTGGCATTAAGCCTTAAGGCAAGTTGCATGAACCTTCCCGAAATGTATAAAAATTGACTTAATCAATTGAAATTGAAATTTAGATTTAACTGTTTATTTCAAATATAAAGTTATCGCTTTTAATTAAATCTAAACATTGCGATTTCGAGTAAAAATATCTCAAACACATTTAAATTAACTGTAATTATATTAATTATATTGCACAGACACGCACTTGTATGCCCTAAAATTATAGTTTATTATTTCAAATTTTAATGAATTGATAATGCTTGACTCATCACATCACAGAGCAACTTTTGACACAAATTTTTACTATAATATTTTCTCAAACTTTGATGAGTTTTTAACATTAAACTATTTTTTGTAGGACAGTAATATTTTAGTATGATCTGGGACGAAAAATTTCTCAAATTTCTGCGATTTACAAAGAAACGGCTTGGCTGATCGTCGCGCAAAATTGATAAACGCTAGCCGTCTTCGAGATACATCGAATGGCTTTTAAATTTTTGAAATCCGTCCAGCCGTTATTGAAAAAATCTGTTCACACACAACATTCTTTTTTCGAATTTGGTCTCATTTGATTATTATACCAATGTCTGCTGGACCGATTTCAAAAATTTAAAAGCCATTCGATGTATCTCGATGAGGACTATCGTTTGTCAGTTTTGTGCGACGATCTGCCGAGCCGTTTCTTTGTAATTTGGAAACAAGTGTTAAACATTTTGTCCACATTTAAGCTCATACTACTGAATCGATTTTAAAAAATCAATAACTGTTGTCAATCAAATCTACCGAGCCATTTTCTTGTAATTAACTGTTGAAAAAAAAATTAAGCCGATTTTTATGGAACTTTTTTTGGCGATATATCATGGCCTTATAGAACTTACTGAAATATTACTGCCTTATGATTCAGAATAGCTTGAAACGTCGAGAAAACATAAATTTAGCGAATTGGATTTTTTGATGAAAACATAAACTTCTCCTTCGGGAAGTTAAAAATCAAAAAATATTTTATTTAAATATCGAAAATAGTTTCAATTTTAATTCTAGCTAAAATACTTGAAATTAATAATTTTAACTTTTCAATGCAGTTTATATAAATTACTTTATTTACTTTTTATGTAAACTTATATAAACTCTATTCTCCAATTTATGAGCTCTTATATTTTGTCTATAAAATACGAATAATAAAAGTTACAGTATTTATAATAATGTATTTCAACATATTTAATATTCTTTTAATATTTTATTACAGTACGAGAAGTACAGGTAATTTGCCTTAAAACACGAAGAAGTAAAAGAATTCTCTAATGTTTATTGCCCAAAACTAAATCGAAAAATGGTTCTGATCATATTTTTAGGTAGATTTTATAAAAGAGAAGAAACAAACGAATATTGACATTTTTTTTAGAAATAAGGTGCCTATTTGGACCACTTGTGGCATTCAAATTTATTTCAGATGATCATAAGGTATTGAGCGAATAAATTTGCTATGAAAAAATGTATTTCGCATAACAAACTTGCTCCCGGTATGAATTTTGTATGGCGTTATACGAGGCACCCACTGTATTTAGCTTCATATATAAATTGTTAATTCAAAACGGCTACTTGGTTTAGCAGTAAACGCTTAGTTTGAATTTATGCACTTATAAATCACGATATTTCACGTTAATTTTGCGGCGCATTCAGCATCTTAGTTTAAATCAGGTTGCACAATAAAATCTCTATGGCTATCAATTTAAGTACAAAACTGAATTTATTACTTGTTTATTAAGCTTTTAATGGTTGTTGTTAGATCTGACTATAAATAACCCGACTCGATTTAATTAACTATTTGCTACATTTGCTCAATAAACTGTTGAAGCGGTTGCTCGTTTTAAAATAAAAACGGTTTTTATCGCATTTTGCCACCTGAAATATCTGCATCGAATTGAAAATCTTCTTAAATGGTAATAAATTCTGAAAGAAGGGCGATTACTCAATCGCCCGTGGGAAACGATATAAAATGGGTGCTGTGCATCCAATAATGATTATGTAATAACATTGCTACATTGACTATTACATTTAATCATAATCCATAGTTACAAATAAATCGGCTATATAACATTTAAAAATATTTTTTTTATACTATTTCAACATTTTGAAGGAGCAGTTTATTTTCGTCACACGCCAACAAGTCCCAGTTCGGTTCCAACCTCAACCAAGCTTGATTTCAAGCAGTATTATAAATTTTTGTTCTAGATTACAGATTTTGTGGAAGCCAACACTATTAGATATACATATCTAATATACAGCACATAGTAATAGCAAAAAAAAGGATATATCCTTTTTGGATATGTCATTTTGTCACATATTTGGTTATAACCATTTCTTACAATTGGTTACCTTCATTGTTCATAATTAATGCCTTTTATGTTAAATCACATCATCAAATTTGAATATAGATACAATTATATTGATATATATATATTGATATATTTATATATATATATATATATATATATACATATATACATTTATATGTATATATGTATTTATATAAATTATAAATATATGTATATACTTCGGTTGTGCGATCATAGTATGTATGCACAAACTATTTTAACAGTGAAAGGTGACTACAAAAGTCGTTTGAAACAGCTTTACAGTAAGGTATTGGTAATTCCCACCTAATATTTAATTAATATAATTATCTATTTCTAATTTATTTGTTTTTTTTTAATTTATGTTTAAGAAATAACGTGAATTATCATAATTGTGAAACTATCTCTGTTAATCTGATAAAGCATTTAAAACTATTTAAAAAGATCTATCTATATATTTTATAATAAATATATTTTATACCATTGTATTAAAAATATTAATTGAATTTAGTCAATTTTTAGTAATGATTTTAAGCAATTAGCTGTTCAAGAAGAAAATAAAAATATTAGTAGAAGTGATTTAGAAGAAGAGCAAAAACATCGACTTAAACCAATAAAAAATCAGATTTCAGGGAAATCTAATCATATAAATGGGATATTGCTTTCAACGCCTTTTAGGTAAGTAATATTGCACATGGTGAAAAATATATTATAACCAAAAATTAACAAGCATTTATCTAATATTAGCAAGGAAAACTAAAGCCCGTGCACGCGACGCCAGTATTTCTTTATACAAGATTTCTGTCAAGTTTTATGGTAAGGCGAGCAAGAATTTTGCGCCAGATTTTCGCTTATTTTATGATAAATAATAATTTCGGGCATTTTTAAATAGATTATTATGAATATACTGTGAATTTCACAATTCATATTTTATATACCTAAAATGCACCAATGCTTATAAGTGTACAAACAGAGCATTGTTTGAAATGTAAACAATAACTATTGGGGCGCATGGCATCGTGGCTTAAGGCAAATTGCTGGAACTTCCCGTACCAATTTTTTTTTTAAATATTAACATTTTTGAAGAAAAATTACTCTGAAAAAATTAGATTTTTGAGAAACTACAAAATTTTGACAAAAATTTACTTTTTTTTGAAAAAAAAGACTTTTTGAAGAAAAATTTATTTTGAAATATTTTTGAAATTCTGAATATTTTATACCGTTGTATTAAAAATATTAATAGAATTTAGTCAAATTTTAGTAATGATTTTAAGCAATTAGCTATTCAAGAAGAAAATAAAAATATTAGTAGAAGTGATTTAGAAGAAGAGCAAAAACAACGATACATTAATAACCAATAAAAATTCAGATTTGGCAACTTTTCAAATTGTGTCGATAATATTTATTTATTTCTGAAATATAAACTTTAGTTTAAGTTATATTTTAATGAAGGCTATTTAATATAAAGTAATTGTTATTCTTATCTTAGAAGAAAATAAAATTGTTAGTATTGATTTAGCAAAAACAATAATCGACTTCACTAATAAGAGTTTATATTTGGCAACGTTTTAAATTGTGGCGATAATTTATGATTTATTATTCATATTTATGATGCATTAATATGGTTAGTTTATTAACTAAACGAGAATATTATAGTTTTACAAAAAGTGGTTGAATTATAAAAGGTAATTCTATTTATATATCTAAGTCTATTTATGCACTATATTTAATACAATTATATATTATAAATTTATTTCTAAATTTCAATTGTTATTGTTTATGCCGATTATTTACACGTATAGGGATATGCAACTTGCCTTAAGGCAAAATTTGACTGACACTTAGTTTAATTAAATCAATAATAATTTAACTAATTAAATATTCAATTAAACTACCTGGTCGCTCGTGTTCACTGAACCATTTCTAAAATGTTAAAAGCAACTCTTCAGGCGTAAATGTTATGTGGTTTATGTAGCTTGTGCACAGTATATAATTAATATAACTTTTATTGGGAATAACAAATTATTTATTTGTATAATTAAATAAACATAGTAAGTGTTAATGCAATTTTTCTATGTTCTACATTTACTGTTCACATTAAATTAATCAAATTTGCCTTTAATTTATTTCATCCTTAAATTTTAACTATTATTGTTATTCATAAATAATGGTTTTCAAGTAAAACATTCTTCGTAGTTTTTGTGGACCACGCTTAATATTTCATAATATGCAAGAAAATACACGGATGATATTATATTAATCATGCTACTTTACGGAAAGTTAATAAATGCTAAAATATTGTGAGCCTATAAAAAGTGGTTTAATTGTAAAGATGCATCAAAATTTAAAAATTCTATTATCAAAATTTGAAAATTGCTAAATCTGAATTTTTATTGATTAAGTCGATTATTTACAAATATTGGAGAGTGCATAAAATTTGTCTTAAAGCAATCTACACCTAGTCAAGTTAAAATAATTAGTGATTTATTTAAATATTTAAATTTCTTTTTTGCGATTTGAAAGTGGCGCCTTTCGCAAATCGTTTCGCGTGAAGTATGCAGGAATTTGCTTCGCCCAATGACATTTCGACACACAATTCCATACAGCTTCGAATTAGAAATTATTAATGTCAGATATTTTATTCTGTTGTACCACGTCATTATTATCTGTGATAAAAAATATAACATTAATGAAGGTCTTAATGTCCTCTATTAGATAATTCAATTAGTTTTTTAGTGCTTTCCCAGTGACAAGAGGTAGAAATAATTTTATAAATACTTTCATGTTGCATATGTCGGTGTTTGGGAACATAACCTGGAATTTACAAAATTTTGAATATGTTTTAAAGTACTGATTTCTGAATAGGATAAATTATTTTTACAGGTATTATTAAACATGAACTCTTTAGTAGTTTTAATCGTCTGTTTGACGATTGGATTTCTGTCAAATAATGTGCAAAGTGCTGCTGTTATGTCTGTTGACTTGGGGAATGAATGGATGAAGGTAAAATAAAATCAATTATTGCTTTAATAATGCATATTGTAACCTAATTTGTCAAAACAAACTTCTGCGTAAATAAATTGCATTAATATATGAAAGTTTCTAATTTGCCATATTTTAATTTAATATTGCATCATGAATTAGAAATGTGACTGAATGATATATAATTCATTATACTTTTACTTTTAATGAATTAGTGAATTCAATTTACATGAATTTTTTCATTCTTTATGTGAACTCAAAAGTCTTAAATTCACAACATACACAATTTAATTTGCCATAATGCGATAGTACGACCTATATGATTTTTAACAATGTTGGTTATAATATAAATGTCGTTTTTGTTATAGCCATTTATTATCAGACTTCCTATTTTAAACAACATATGTATATAAAAATAATGAATTATGATAATCTGAAATGAAGATATATTTTTTATTTTTGGGCGATTATCAAGCTTGTCTAGTGATTCCTAAAATATTATATATATTAACACTTAAGGGACAGGCTCCTCTCCATTTTTGTATTTATATGAAGCATGAATGTTTATATGCTTCAAGAAATACTAAACACTTTAATAATTACTATTATAGAATTTTAAAAATGAATGTTGATTTAGTAAAGTTTCATTGCAGTTATAATGCTTTATACCATGTTCATCAAATTTTTCTAAAAAAATTTGAACCGACCATTAAGTGTTATCATAATAAAATTTGATAATTGTTATTTGCCTAAACCATTGCGTAATATTATTTGACTAAATATAGTTATTTGCAAATTTTTATTTCTTAGCATAAGTCTTCACATAATCAAACCTGATCAGTTTAAAATATTTTGTTTGTATAAATTCTTATGTTGTATTCAACAGAACATCTTTGACTTGGAAAATACAAAATTTTGAATATATATTAGTTTCAGATTGTTTAGGCTAATATCTATTATAATATGTTGTAATTCATGTCATTTTATCATGTAAATAATTTTGACTTTTTCTATTATTTCAGGTTGGAGTTGTTTCACCAGGTGTGCCCATGGAAATTGTTTTAAATAAAGAATCTAAGCGAAAGACACCAGCAGTTGTAGCTTTTAGGGACGGTATTCGGTCGTTTGGAGAAGATGCTCAAACAATAGGTGTACGGTTTCCTGCACAAAGTTATGCTTACCTGTTAGATTTACTTGGAAAGAGTATAGACCATCCAGTTGTTAAGCTTTATCAGAAAAGGTATGGATTATTGAATATTTTATCATAATATATAATAATTGTTTTTGCATAAATATATTTAAAGGTTTATAATGATTAACATAAAATATATAAAATTATTTCAGATTTCCTTATTATAAAATAGAAGCAGATCCAGTGAGAAATACAGTAGTGTTTAGACATGATGATGACACAACATATAGTGTTGAAGAACTAGTTGCTCAATTATTGTCAAAGGCTCGTGAAATGGCTCAAATTTCTACTGGACAGGTAAATTGCACATTTCTGACATTATATTAATATTTTACAATAATCTTCGATTAACTACCATATGAATGTGATGATTTTTGACAAAAATTTAAGTAATATAATCCTCTACCTCTTTGAGAAATAAACTTAGTTTTGTTTTGAACATTATTTGCAATGATACTAAATTCGTTTTAAACAAATTAACATACATTGTTAACATATTAACACAATATATGGAACATAATATATATAACTTACATAATATGCATGGTAATATTTATATGTATGTAATCAAGAAATATTGGATATTTTATTTATATTTAAAATAAATGTATGAAAATGATTTATCTAGTATAGAAAAAACCAGTCTTATACTAATAAGATATAAATAATTTATACCTTTGATTTTCTTTATCTTTCATATATAGTGCTTATTAATTGCTACATATTAAACTAATAAAATTAGGAGTTTAATGAATCATATTTTGTTGAGTATAAATTTCATGATCATAATTTTTAGTAGTAAGAGTTGATATTCTAGATTGATTAAATTTTATAAATAACCATTCAAGATTGAATCTTGAATATAAAATATAAATAAAATATGATTCTTATGTTCTTATATTTCTTTGATATTTTTATACTGTTTGAAATAAAATTCAAGCTGTATATTAAAGCAAACATACCTTTTATTAATTTATTTTTATTATTTTCAGATCATAACAGAATGTGTCTTAACAGTTCCTGGTTATTTTGGTCAGGCAGAAAGACTAGCATTGTTACAAGCTACCAGCCTAGCAGAACTTAAACCATTGCAGTTAATAAATGATTATTCTGCAGTTGCTTTGAACTATGGAATATTCAGAAGGTAAATGAAAATCAACTGAGATATTATTTTATTAAAAAGACGAATCTGATGGTGTATAATATTTTGTATGGTTTTTTGACGAATTTATCTATAATTTTGCCAACTACATATCATTGTTAAACATTTAAATATTCACACATATCTCACCCTACAAAATATACAGTTAGTCTTATGTAAATAGTTTGTTTTTAGAAAATATGCATAATAAAGTTATGTATAAAATGATACATAATTTAGAAAATGTTTTCATATAATTTTCTTGAGATTTTCTAATTTTCTCTAAATTTTAGAAGTTTTACATTCTGACTCACCTGTTTGTTTATTTGTTTGCAACAAAAATGTTAAAAATCAATTATTAACTTCCCGTAGGGCAAGTTATAGTAATCGCAAAAAAATCAAAAATGAAAATTTTTATATATCTTTACGTTTCAAAGGTTTCTGAACATTTTGGCATATCTTAGAAAAAATGGATGTATGTGTGTGTGTATGTATGTATGTATGTATGTATGTATGTATGTATGTATGTATGTATGTACGTGTGTGTATGTATGTGCGGATACAAATTTTCGTCGACGATTTCGGGAACACGGATCAACCGATTTAAATAATTCAAAAAGCATTCGATTTGTATTGATAAGGAGACGTGCCGATTAGTTTTTGGTAAAGGCAGGTCTAGCCGTTCCGAAGATACGGGGCAAAAAGTGCCGAAAACGGTAACTCAGTTTTTAAGAGAACGTAGCGTTCGATTTGAATAATTCAAAAAACATTTCACTTGTATTGACAAGATGAAGAATCGATAAAATTTTCATGAAGGTAAGTCTAGCGGTTTCGGAAATATGGAGGAAAAAGTAAAAAAAATGGCGGTCAAAAATGATCATTGGACATATGCACATCAAATTATCACATATTTTATAGAGATTTTAACAATAAGTATACATTTTGTTAACATTCCTATGGGTTCCGTACCAATGCTTATGCGTTAGACAGCGACGCGGCGCTTACGCGCTTTATATTTTGTCCCTATGCAGATAAAGCAGTACGAT